GTAGGAATATTAATTAGTTCTTCAGAGTTTAGTTAACTTCTTTACAGTAAGGATCAACACGTTACGGTATTGTTATAATACTGTGTTGTGGTTTAGTTAACATATTTATAGTAAGGATCAACACGTTAGGCCCTGTTATAATACTGTGTTGTGGTTTAGTTAACATATTTCCAGTAAGGCTCAACACGTTAGGCCCTGTTATAATACTGTGTTGTGGTTTAGTTAACTTATTTACAGTAAGGCTCAACACGTTACGGCCCTGTTATAATACTGTGTTGTGGTTTAGTTAACTTACTTAAATTTTGCCCAAAGATGTTCCAACCCTTCCCTGGGTTCTTCGGTTTGTACGGCTATGTAGTATTGCATAGAATAATTGGAAGTACCGTTTTTGCCGAATTAAAATTTGGGATCTGGTTATATATATTTGGGCTTAGATGGGAGTAAGGCAACTAGTTTACGTTTTCAAACTCGTATGTATGTTTTCACCAGTACCAAATCTGTGTTTGTCAGGATCTACAAATACTTCATTGAACAACGTATAACTTCATAACTTGGGTTGGGGACTTTGGGTGTTTATCAGGATCTGCAATTTTATTACAGAACAAAATTATATATGTTGACTTGGGATTTTGACTGTTTATCGGGATCCACAAACATATCATCGAAGAAAATACAATAGTACGCAATTTGAATTTTTTTTGCCATCATTCATATTCGTGCTTTAAAAAAATTATATATACACACATAGGTTCAATTGGGATTTGAGGTTTTCAGTTCCTTATGTTTGGGGTCAAGGTGTTATTAAAAAGAGTAAATAAAAGTATGAAAACACGAAAACCTGGTTTTGCTGAAATGGCACAAACTGAACGTTTGTTAGCGTTCACGATATATGATTCGTGATGAACTATCTCTCTGTTACTATAAGCACGACTTTAAATGTCTGTAACGTCAAGATCCGATAACTTTAATTTTATGATTAATACAGTTTTACAAGTTTCATTGTTCTATGGTTTTTGTGTTTCAAGGACCAGTTTGTTGTCAGTCATGATACAATCTATTTCATTCTGTAATCACTATTTACCTTTTTTTCTTTTTATTACGTTCAAACAAGTCCATGTTCACGATAATTGTTACTTGTTTATTTGTTTTAGGTGTAATGTGCACCTAAAATACGTTCTTTGTGCAAACCTTTTGAAAAACTTGATTGTAAGAATAACTAGAAATAACAGGAATGATGTGAGCAGTCAGTTTTCGGGAAGGAAGTCTAGTGAGCTCAAATTCTATTGGGAATTAACCAATTGTAGGCCATAAGTAACGGTAGCGCCGTATTGTTAATGATCACAGCACGAGAGAGTAGCATTGTTGTTATGGGGGCAATTACGCTCTATTTATATAATGTGTGAATTGGGTCAAAGGATTTCCGGTTGGCCACCTCATAAAGCCGAACGAGGAATCAGATAGTACTTAACAGTGTAAGATTCAGCGTAGTCTCTAAGAAATTATCTGTTGTGAGGACCGACAAACATGGTGATAGATTGCTCTAATTACAGTGTCACCAGGATTTCGAACAGCTGCACAGCGAGCAGTCAACAACGAAGACGATGTGTATGAAAGATACAGGCCTCAGCAAAAATAGTTCAACAGAATGTATTTGTAGGTGTTCCATTCTTGGAACACCTCGTGACTTCGGGTATGAAACTTCAGCGTAGCTTGTTATGGGTTGGCAAAACCTGAGTTTGACTTGTGGAGAATGTGGTCATAATCCTTACAGCTGTCGCGGATATATCCTGCTTCCGTTTATCATTAGGATTACGACGTTATTTTTCTTGTGTAGTATCTGGTATCTTCAGCCTGAACGGCACGTTCAATGTGACATATTGGCTAACTGACCAAGGTCCAAGTATAACCAATCCTCACCACTTACACGGCTGCGTTTTACCGAATAGCGGGACTAGCCACCACTTTTGTAACGTGTTCGCAAGCGAAACTGTGGAGCATGTACAGCGGTATTTCGCGTGGTCGAACCTTAGCCCTTTTGATCTTGAGATTTTCCAACGCTCGTGGCGATTAAAGAAAGTCACAAATGCAATTGTTATTTCTTAGTATTTGATTTTCTAACGAATTAGTACCACGCCCTTTTAAATTATACTTTGATATAATTAAGTTGTTAGTTATATAATTTTTCACGTGTTTGAAGATTTATTAATAAATAACATGTTTTTAACGAGGCAGCTTTTGAAACATGCTGTTCAAATACACAATAAAACAAGAGCTGAAAGCGATTTTCATAACATTCATTCTGTTAAGTGGTGCCATCTCTTGAAATGAAACGAAATTACATTAATATCCCGTCACGTTAAGTCCTATTACTTTTTGTTATTTAAAAAAAATCTAGATGTGAAGGTGCTATAACTTTTCTTTCTTCATCATACCATTTGGTTCAGCTTCTCTTTATATGTTACTCTGAGATTTTGTTCCCCACTCTTTATGATACTGTGGTTTTCTTATTTTTAATATACTCTTTTTCCTACTTTCATTTCTTTCCTATTGTGATCTGGCATTGTACTACAACCACAGATTCTTCCTCAGCTCTTCTCTGATATTATTTCTGAACTATTTTTTATCTCTTAATTGTTCTCTAAGAACAACATATTCTTTTATTGTGTTTCAGAAAGTTTTGTCCATTTGTATTATACATTTGATACTCGTATATTTTTTCTTGATATTCAGTGATGCCTAGTTTTCTTCATAATATTGTGTAATACAGCTTCCATGATCTTAATTTTCTGTGTTACAGTTTCCCTGCTCTTCTTCTTAATGTGCTGTGGTAAATTTTCTCTGCTCATTAATTTCCTTTAGTACATCATCTCTTTTTCTTTGTTCTGTGAACCAGTTTTTCTGCTCTTGTTGTTAATGTCACATGATATACTTCTTCTGATCTTAATGTCCAACAGTTTCTATAATTTTTTTCTTGATGTCAAGTGGTAACTTTTTTCTTCTCTTAATTTCATATTGTGTGATGTCTCTGTTCATCTTCTTAACATAACATGGTACATTTTCCCTGCTCTTTTTCTTAATGTAGTGTGGAACTAGTATCCTACTCTCAATTTTATTGTAGTATAGTTTCTTTGCTCATTGTTACTTGTATAATTATTTAATTGTGTTGCTGTTACTTGTTAATGCATAATACAAAACAAAAAAATAGTAAATGTTTACAATCTCAACTTTCGACCTTTTGCCAAATTGATAGCAGTACAAAGGTACATAACATCACTACCATAGTGGGAACCAGTTTCTAGCAAGACACATTGGACAGGACTTGCACCATGTTGAACTGTACTAGTAAAAAGCTTTTAGTCCTGTCCTTAAGATTGCTTTCACCAACAGGGAATATAAAGCCTATCAAAGCCATCCTAGTTCCTAACAACTTCAATCAAGTAAAACAAAATTAAAAAACTAAACTATGGTGCTATTTGATCCGCGATGTTACACAACTTAATTACCACTTATTCTCTGTAGTTAGCAACCGGTTTGGTAGGAGCAAAAAAGAACTTGAAACAGTTTTTCTGTACATTAAAATGGCCAGTGGTTTGATGAAAAATATAATACCTCCAGTTTCAATAGCCTTTTGGACCACTTCTTATAAATGTACAAGTTTGTTCATTGATCATGCAAATCATATGCAACCTCATTCTCAGGTGTGTATGGTGGATGAAATGACTAGCTGTTCTTGCTGTGCTTCAGTCAGAGACCTCACTTCTTTCGGGAAAGATCTAACAGGATTTGAAAGAGGGGTGACAGAAGAGACTGATGTACTTAACTAAGACCACACAGATTGTTGAAGATGTCTAGAGAAACAAGGACTGGAACTGTTGAAACAAGTGTCAGGACATCATGTGTGATGAGGACCAGCCCATTCTGAGCCAAAACATAATGCAAACAGGAAGATATAACAATTATAATTTGTCCAGAGCTCAGAATATAACTCTGGCAACCAGTACCAAAGAAAACTATGTGACAAGAGACAAGTCATCTGTGATATTGTGGAATAATTATATCCATCACTTCAGAGCTCAATATTTAACTCTAGCAACCAGTACCAAAGAATCCTGCATGACAAGAGATAAGTCATCTACACTTCAGTGCTCAGTCCATAGTGGTGGAATACAAACTATGAAGTCAGTTACATCAAGGAGAAATTGAGATAGGTCACTTAATGTGAACTCCATTTCTTTCAAAAATCAGAAGTTTAGTTGTAGAGACAGTCCAAGGAAGCGTACACCAAAACTGTTTATTCCAATTATGAGAAGCTATTGTTGGCTATATTATCATTTATGGGACATACTACAATTTTCATATAGTATTGGTCAGATCATTAAACTAAAAAGGTAAGATTACAATAAATCATTTCAGGAATATCTTAGTTGACCCAAATTCACACCACCTAACCACTCTGTGCAAGTTGCAACATTAGTTGGAACCCAACCTAACAACACAGCTTTCCCACTCCTGAAGAAATCAAAGGCAGAAGTTATTGTGGAAATGTGTAATGTGCCTTTTGAGACTTTTCAATGCTTACTCATGATGACTCAAATGTTTTTTGTTTTTTTGTCGTGTATGTAATTCTGTTGTTTTTTTGCCCAACCACATTATATATTTCTAAACCTTAACAAGAGAAGAAAAAAAAGTGTGTGTATTTTAAAGTAGTGAAAATTGAAAGAATCTGTAGCAAGATATTTTTTTAATTATATGTGGAAGTGTAATTTGTTTATCACGTAATTAAAAAGTAAAGAATTTATATTAGATTTTTTTTAAACGTAGAGTGATAAGGAAACAGATAAAGACTTATGTGGTTATGGTGTTGAGGAAGTAACATACATGTATGTTGTGGACGAGAGATAGAAATTTAAGATAGTGTTGTTATTGCAAATGATGCATGAAGTCATGAACTCTCTTCCATCTGTATACCAGTACCTTATGTGAATATGTATTTTATGCAGGGGACCACAGAAACTGATAGTGAAACAGCTTTTCAACTTGCTGCTTTGGCTTTACAAGTTTCTGATGGAGATTATGTTGAGTAAGTTTGGTTAATTCAAATCATAAAATAGTTTTATTTCATCACAAGTTGAGGATTGGGTGCCTTGGGTTTTACTTAGCTTATTTTAACCTGGCTGGAGTAGTAGACATTGATTTGTTTTACTTCAATATTTAAATTTCTTAGTATGTGGTATTATCTTTAATCTTTTCCATATAGTAGTTTTTGTACATACTTGTGGTGTATTAGTTCTTTATACGATTTATTTTTATTATCAGTTGTAATTATTCTTATTTTTAGAATGATTTAGTGGCTTGTTTCTAATTTTTACCACCTTGGTCACCTGATATTCTTTCAAATACACATTTGTTTTTTTGTATGAAAAGTTAAAAGCAACTGACATTCTTCAAACCTTTTTCTTGTCATCCATTTATAGTGTCATAAAACATTATTCAAACTTTAGTGTGGTACTGATTATTAGTCAGGATATAGGTAACATTGTACATGAAATATTCCTTTGTTTTTTGACAAAAAAAATACTACATTATTCAAACTTTAGTGTGGTACTGATTTTTAGTCAGGACATAGGTAACATCATACATGGAATATTCCTTTGTTTTTTGACAAAAAAAAATATCACCGTACCAAACTTTACCATGTTGTCCTTGATTCCCATCTACTTAGTTACTTGTTTGTAAATACAATAGTAATTACTGAAATTCTTGTTCTAAGTACGAGACTAAATACTGTAACTTATGTTTATTTATAATGCAGTAAAAGTTTTATGTTGTTTTTTAACAGGTGTTTATGAAAATCCATGTTAAAATGTAGGAAAGTTTTTTAATGATTATTGCTTTATCCACATAAACTAACACAGTGATGTAGTTATTTGAACTATTAAATACAATGTTATGTACTTTTTATAATTGTAAAATATTATAATAACACTCAGTAATTTGAAACATTTTGTTTTATACAGTAATATGTAAATGTTATGTTGCAGTAAAAGTATGGCTAATATTTAGTGATTTAGTTATTTGAATCAATAAATATAAAAATGCTTTCTACACAACTTATACTAACATGATATATTTCATGGTGAGCAACAAATATTTCACTAAAAATTGTTGATTTTTAATGGGTGATAACATCAATCATTTTCATTAGACTTATTGAATTGTAATTAGATTTGGGTTGTTGATAATTAATTGCCACATGTGTACATATCTTTACACTTTTAATCTTGTAACAGTGAGGACAGGACTAACACTCTTCTGAAAAAGCTGGCTGTGCTTCCAACAAGTGTGTTTAAAGAACACCCTTCTTTGCAAATCTGGTAAGTTGGCTGACTGTTTGGAGGGATGGTTAAATAAATAGACAGTTAAGTATTAGACAGATAATTATGTGTGTAACCAAGCCATGTTTGTCCTACATTAAAATTATTGTCATTTAATGATTTATTGACTTTTATTATGTTTTCTATTAGGTGTTTTAATTAATTGATTAATGTTTTGTGTGTACTTAAACTTTGTGCTCAATGTTTAATTAATAGTTAGTATAAAAACAGAAATTGTATGTTCAGTCACATTTTGGTTTCTAGTGTTAACCTTTTATAGTAGTATGACTTTTTATTTTTGAATTTGTATGGGCTTTTAAAATAGGCCAAGGTGATTATTAATGGTAATGCCTGTTGTATAATGTTTTAAAAGTTTTATAAGTTACTTCTTTATCATTTTTTACTAGTAAAGACAAAGTTGTTGGATACTACAAGAAGCTGTTAGGCCAGTCCAGAGGAGAGGCTATTGTCAAGTAAGATGCATTTCATCAAGAAAACAGTAGATTAAGGTTAAAGAAAGTAATAGCTTGATTTTAAATAAGTTTTGATCCTTGTACTCTCCAAACTATAATAGTACTATAATAAAGGGACTTTAAAATGTGATTTACTGGACTTGATGAAGTTTGTTGTTGTTGGTCTTTCTTCTGATAACTTGTGTATATAGCTATATTTATAAAGTTCTTTATAATCTTTTATGTTTCATAAGAACATAGTAAGTTCTTTGTATTCAAACATTAACTTGAATATATTCCTTTTCACACTTAAAGATAAGAAGTTAACCTCATAAATCCCTCTGATTTAATGGGAACTTGTGTAAGTATAGATATAAATGAAGACTCGTGGTTTCAAGCATTTCTCTTTTTAAAAGCTTATACTGTTAAGCATTTTATGAATGAGTGTTTTTGTAGGTAATGCAAATGTTTTGGTTTCTAATGGTAAAAGCATCTAATTTATTCTTTTTTGTGGACTTCAAACTTAGGTTTTGTAAATGTTAAGTCTAAGTAACTGAACCTAAATTCTCATACATTTTTGTTTTGGTTGTAATAACTCGGATTACTGTTTAAATTTTATTGTAATTGATTCTAAATTTTGTAGTGAAATTATTCTGAAAAGTTTCACAAGAACAAACTACATATACATGTATTTGTTTACAGTGAAAATTGAAACCAAATATTTTTTTGTTTAAAATTCTCTTAAAGCTGTTTCTCTATGCATATAGCTTACAATGAAAATATTTAGTACATTGTACTGTTATTTTTTACATAATTCATGTAGTTATTTAGTTTTTGTTTTGTTTTTTCTCACAGTTATATGAGTATAGTGGAAAGCTTGCCTACATACGGAATTCACTTTTATGAAGTAAAGGTAAATACTACATGTCTAGATTAATCTTATGAGAAATTGCAAGCACATATTTTTTTCCTGTTTAAGATTTCTGTTAATAATTAATATACTAGATGGACAAATATAAATATCCTCTCATTATGTGAGGGAAATACTGGCTATCTTTTAAGTTTCCTGAAAACCTGTTATTCCAGCAGCAAGTATTAAAAACCATTATTAACGTCTGGGATTCAGTGCACAGTTCATTGTCAACACAAGCAAAATGACTTCCAAAGAGAAACACTGGATGGATGTTATTTGGCAAGGAAGTTTGACAGACATATATTTGTTAATTTTTGAAATGCTCTACAACACTGCTTGATGAAATTTGCACACCAGTACATTCTCATGCATGGTAATAATCTTTCGCAGAAAAGTAACTCTAAGAGCTAGAAGAGCACTGCAGACTTTGATCAGGAGAATCACACTTGCTAATCTCACGATATTGGCCTAGGATTTTTTTTCATTCAACTGATATGAAAAGAGTATCCAGGGAGCTTCATAGCATGGGATTCCATTAATTTGTCACAGCCCATAAGTCGTAGATTGACTGCTGTTGTACAATACAAGTGAAAGAAAAAAGTTGTAATCTATATAAAAGATGGTTTTACTCAGTACAAGTGGATGAAGTAATGGTTGTGTGTTGTAGTGTTGACTTTTATCCACATGGCAGATTTTTAAGATGCAATAATTGTTCAATCTGATTTTTTTTCTTTTTTACTTAAACTATTTTAGTGCTGTGAGACAACAAATATATGGCCAATTCAAAAACCAATTTTTCCCTAAGCTTGTTAGCCAGAGGGCATAAAATGTTATTTGATATTAATAGCCACAGCTTAGTTGTATGTTTTTCTTTAAGACTAAAGTAAGTATAGTTGTTGAATGTTTTTAAATAGGAAAATTCTAATTGGGAGCAATGGTTCATCAATGTTAGATTGATTTGTTACAACCTAATTGTGTGTTACATGTAGTGATATTGTAAAATCCTAAGTTAGAAAACTGAAATTCTTTTAAGAGTGGTCTAGCCTAAGTATGAAATTGAGATGCTTCCACCCAATGACTAAAAATGAGAAAGCAATATTAAATTTCTGCTTTTGTTTATCATAGGCATAATATATCTTTTTAGGTGTGCTATACCCATTTCTTGCATGTAGTCCAGTGTATGTTGAAGTTAAGAATTATTAGAGACTTGGTTGATATGAAAAATCATTAGTATTTAATAAATGGGAAACAAAATCCTAAATTACATGTTTAAACCTGATCTCACCATCAAATAATATACGTATAAGATACACTCTCTTGAACTAAGGTACTCATTCAAAATAAATTAGGAAGAATTACCACTGCAACCTCAAGGATAACAGCTGCAGGATCGACATACTTATTATAAGCATGGTGATGTGCAGGAACAAACTATCTAAGCCTGGTAGTTACCTCTACACAGTATTCTACCATTCTTTAAGTGAGATATAGATGCAGTATGATCTATGTAAGGTTGACATATCTAAGCCTGGTGGTTACCTCTACACAGTATTCTACCATTCTTTAAGTGAGATATAGATGCAGTATGATCTATGTAAGGTTGACATATCTAAGCCTGGTGGTTACCTCTACACAGTATTCTACCATTCTTTAAGTGAGATATAGATGCAGTATGATCTATGTAAGGTTGACATATTTAGGCCTGGTAGTTATGTTTACCCACACAAACATCATCATCTAGATAAATGATAACCACAGAGCTGAGTTGATTTATGTAGGTTTGATAATCTTACCCTCACTCAGATGAGTTGAAAATACAAAATTTGCAGCGTAGTCTCAGCACGATCATCACAGCTTGATGTGGTGATCATACAAAACACAGCCTTTTGCTGTTCATGAGATTGATGACAATTACAAAGCTCATTGTGAGAGACACATTTTAAATTTTTTACAACATTTAAATTTAGCATATTATGGAAAAAAAACTTGGACACCAGAAGCTAGTTACAATTGTTTTCATTCATTTTCTTAAGAATAACATAATTTACAAGTATAGACAGCTGTGTGCAAAAGCTACTGACTAAATAAATTATAGAACATACGTCATATATTTTGATCATTGTATTATGTTATGGGATGTTTATGAAATTATGAAAGATGTTTCTATCCCATTATGAAAAGACAGAAAATATTAAATTTCCACTTTTGTTTATCTTAGCCATAATATATATTTAATATTCCCTAATATCCTTAAATAATTGCATTGTGTTAATGTTATTGCTTTTGTTCTTAAACAAATGAATTTTCACTATGAAATTTTGAAATAGTTTACTTCTTATAGAGGTCTGTCTTGTGTGTAATTATTGCTTTAACAGTTGTCAACATTTAAATATATAAAGGCTGCTCAGGTCATACAATTATAGGCTACTGCTTGAGGGACCATCAGGTGACAGCAATCACACATTTATATTTTGGTGATTACATCACGAATTATTCAAAAGTTCATTTATGAAAATGTACTTTGATAAATAACAAATTAAGCCTAGCAGGAAGGGTCAGTTATTATGATGTTAAAGTAGTATTCTGGTCATTACTATCATTATTATTAGTTTCTTATTCTATTAAACACACACAATATCTTTTTTTAAATTGTAAAATGCTCATATATTTAATCATTTATTTTCAATTTATTATAACTGTTGTACTGACACAATAATTTTTTTGTTTGTGGCTGTTTAGGACAAAGGAGGGATACCGTGGTGGTTGGGCCTTAATTATAAAGGGATTAGTCAGTACGATTTTGTAGATAGGAAGAACCCAAGGAAGGTGAGGATATTACTATCATAGTGTTTTGTACCAAAGTAAAGGTTAACCCACTACCAATTCTGTAGTTTGTAGTAGATAGGTCTACCGTGATGTAAATCTACTTTTGGAAATATGTTGAGGTTTTAAAATTTAACTAAGAAAAAATACCTACAGAAGTTTTTATTTTATTGTCACATTATGTTAGAAGCTTTAGTTAATGATTATAACAAGTGTATTTTATTCTTATCCATATTCCTAGATTATTTTCTTCCAAAAAGTTATAAATTATATTATAGGCAAATAGTTCTATGTTTTGCTTTTTATTACAAACTTTGTTGTTTTTTTTTTTACTCTATAACAAAGTTGAGAATGAGTTCAGAAAATTTCTACTGATTATCTTCATGGCTAACTTGTCAGATTGTTTTTGGTTTGCATATCATTAATGAAATATATTTTAACTTTCTACCTTATTCTGAAAAGTATTATGAAATTGCTTGATAAAAACAAAATTGCTGTTTCTTCAGTTGTACTGAGCTCCAGTGGTTTCAAATTCTTAACAAAACAGTTTGAGTCTGATGTCAGGGTTAAATTATTGTGTAAATGGATAATCTGTTAAACCTTGACTTGTGATAAAATCACGTTTGAAAAAGATGAAGATTTTCCCCACTTTCTTTTGAAGAATTTGTCACATATTACAAGATGCATACTCATCCTTGAAAGTCCTTGAAATTGAGACTGGAATTTCTAGGGCTTGAAAAGGGGCCTTTTTTTTTTTTCAAAAGTACTTGAAAATATTATAATAGCAGAATATATTGATATAGCTAACTTTAATGCATGTTGCAGAGTTTAGCTCAATAAATAAAGTCTTTCTTTTCTATTTAGTCTACATTCATGTATTGAACAAATAAATAAGAATTTTATAAAATTTCAGTGGTACCCGATTGATTTTGATGTAGATTTTAGCTTCCAAAAAGTGCTTGAAAAACATACCGAGAGTGCTTAGAAAGTCTTTGAAAAATGCTTGAAATTGATCTGAGCAATTCAGAATAAACCATGAATATTATTATAACATTATCATTTAAAAATACTTATAATTTTACATACAAAACTAATGGTGTAGAAGTTGGGGATGTGTTTAATCATTCTTGTTGGATGAGAAGAGGATAAACTGTAATTGAAAACAGTAAATACAAAATGCTTTTATATGTGTAATGACATAAAAATAATCTAATAGTGCATAACTAAGAAAATTGATGGTAAAATTTTATCACTGTATTTGGAACTCATTCGATATGTTTCATTTAGATATTTCCATGGAAACATCTAGATAACTTGTACTTTAGAGACAAGAAGTTTTCTGTGGAGGTACACAGTCCTAGAAGGTGAGTAGTGTTTGATCCAGTAAATACTGAGGAATAGAAACATGTTTGTCAGCTTGCGCAGTAAAAAGATCAAAACTTTAGACAGAATTGTTCTTAGGTGATTAAACATTTAATTTCAGGATAAAATTGTGTTTTTGTTATAGTTTGAAAATACTGAATTATTAGAACAAGAATATTTTGAGGGAGGGGAATTTTTTTTTTTTCTAGTAAACCTTGTCAAATTGTTTTTTAATTAATGGAGTTTAATTTTTATAGGAGTAATTTTGGTTTGCTTTGTAAGTTATGATACGTATCTTTGATCATCTGTGATGCTGTCTTCAAAATGGTATTTAAAGACACATTTAATACAATATTTTAATGGCAGGATTTTCTATAAAGATGTTGGCAACATTTTATTTTTTTGTCTTCATGCAAGTAACATTTTATAATCTTCATGTGGCTTAAGTTTGAAAATATCTTTCGCGTGTAGAATATTTAATGAAAGCTTGTAACAAATAGATATTATGTGGAGTTTTTCAGAAAAATATTTTAAGATTAATTGCTATTGATAATATAAAAAATATTTAGGTCAGTATGATTTAATAGTAAGGTAGTTAATCAAGGTATTTAATTTAATACAACATTGTGTTTGTAAATATAAAATTACTTGTATGTTGAGTAACTGGCAAACGTATGTAATAAATAAAACTAGTGTTGGCAGTCTTGTACAGTATATTATTATGTATAACATACAGGGACAGTATGATAACAATGTAATATTCCATTATGATATACTTTTAATGTAGTAGAGAGTAAATGATGATAAAACAGGTGAGAGAACTGCTTAGAGCATGTGTCCAGTTTACAGACAGAAAAGAAATTGTTCACAGGAGACTTTTTGAATAGTTTTCTGTATTTTATTTGGTTTGTTGGCTTTTCTCCCCCCCTTAGTAAAAGTTATATGTGTTTCTTGAGCAATAATGGAGATTGAAGTTGGTAGTTATAATTGTGAGAGCTAGATAATAGTTTCACAGTGGGAGGTGGACAGAGAATCATAAACACTTGTATCTGTATTTGTGCATTTATCACAAGGTGTACTTGTCAGTGTGGAACAAAGTTGGAATTAAACTGGGGTGGTAGCAAAAGTTGGATGCGTGATGTTACTGCTTGATTATCTACCTTTTTTTTTTTCATTTTGTGGGCAACTACTACAGTAACATGAGGCTGACTCGCGTTTTCTGTCTATGTCTAGAGTGGTACATGCTCTAAGCAGTTTTAACCTGTATGAGGATGCCATTGAAGAACCCTTGGAAAACTTGGATGAACTCTCTGATGCTATAACTGATCCTACAACACTGTAAGTTGACTAGTCTCTCAGCTTGTTACTCACTCATACACACTGTCCACTATTTATCTCCGGAAATGTTTCCTTATAATTACATAAGTATTATAGGCAAGTTTCATTTTCTTTAAATGAATGGAAATATTTTAAGATAAATCTTACCATAATGCTGCCCACCTCTGTGCTGTATTGTTATTATTTCTGTAAATGTTTAGCTCCAAAACACTAGATTAAATAGTTAAGCTCGTAAGTGTTCAGAGAAATACGACAAAAGATGCCTGCTGTAAGAAGAAGAAAAGTTTATCTGTGTCAGTATCTACATTCGAATACTAGTAAATAGACTTAAGTGAAATTTGTACTTGTTTGAATTACTTATTGAAGGTGTTTCTATTAAGCCCAGGATGCTTTAAGTACAATAAAAACTTTTGGAAGGTCGTGTTGTTTTCTGATTTCTGGGAACATCTTATTGTATAAAATTAAATTTACATCAGGTTAAATGTATAATATCCAAGGTAGAGTCAAATAAAATGGGGTGGTTATCATCGTGATGTCGAGGAACCATCTATATAGCTGATATGGGTATTATAAAATGATGTTTCTACCAGTTTAGGTCATCATTAGGTTAGTAAAGGAATTTGAGAAAAGTAATTATAAACTAAGACATCTTGTGATGTGAGAACAACAGTAATAAGGTGCAAAGTTGTATGACAAGTTATAATTTAATTTAGAATTAAATTAAAATTAAAGTTTAGTCTTCAGGCTGAAATGAAGTAGAAATTAAATTACACAGAACAAGTATTAGTGAAAAATTATTAATATAGATATAAAAATGTCCCTCTATATTAGTTGAATAAGGGTTTGTGCCATTTTATGAGAAAAGCTTCTTTATTTTTTGTTTATTGACATTTGATTTTCTGTTTAGTATTTTAGTGTTTTCTCTAGCTATGTTATGTTTATTTGAGTAACAGTTAAAATTCATGACAGTTTTCACATGTGATTTTTTAAATGACATAGGTACTGTGATTGTCTGAGTAGTTTTTGTATAGGTTTTATTTTGGTACTCAGTTTTTAGATTAATTTAGATGTTACTGAGATGTGTTTAAAACAGACAGATTTTTAACATTTTAGTTACTTCGTCACTGATTTCTGAGATGTATGCAGCTACGTAGTGTTTTGTTATTAGTTGTTTCATTGAATTTTGGGTTATTGGTTGGGTGTGGAGTTGAATAATGTTTTTGTCCCTAATTTATTCTGCTTTTTCCTTTTAAAACTTTTTAAGGCATGAAATATTTTTTTTAATTGGTTAATTTCTTCATAAAGGTTGTTGGATGAGCAGAATTTTGTAGCTGAGTTAATTAGGTTTTTAGTTTGTTTTGTTTCATGTGCAGAATATTGGAGAATGATGAGGCTGGTATGAATGTTTTTGTGAATTTTGGCTTTTATTGTTCTTGACAGTTCTTGTTATATTGAGGTTGAAAAATGGTTTTTCTTATTCAATGATGAATTTAATGTTGAGGTGTATGAAGTTAAAGGCATTAAAAAAGTTTAGTATGTGTTCTGTAGAAGTGAATCTAGTAATGTGTCATCTTTACCAGTTTAGTGGCAGATGTAAAGCTGAACTGATTGGAGAAATGTGGCTACACACACTTGCCATAAATGTGTATAGTTTTGGTTGTTGGACATGAAATTAGTTTTAGTGATGGTAAACTATGAGATTGACTAGTTGGTTTCTTGGAATGTGTATTTTTGGATTTGGGTCATTAATGTAAAGTTCTAAGGTTATGTTATAAGCTGAAACTTTGGTAAAAAGGGAGACTACCTCCAAACTGGCTATCAAGGCTTTATGATTTAGTTGATTCAGTGTGGTTTAGAAGTTGTAAATGCCCATAAAAAACATAAGCCTGCAGATGTTATGCAAGTGAAAATTGCCCGCACTGTCTTTACCAAGGTTGTAGTTAAATGATTCATAGGTTAATATTATAGGTCTTGAAGGAGAATCAGGTTAGTGTGGCTTTGGAAATCTATAGAGTTGTGGTGTTCAGGAGTCAGTTTTATGTAAACAGAAAAAAAGTTTATCAGACACTGTTTTCTTCTTTTTTTTAATTATAGTTAAATGGTGTTCAGTTGGTTTACATGCATTTTTGTTGGACTTGTGGGGATTGGCTTGAATTTATTTGTATCTGATAGAATGTTATTAATTTTGTTAATATATTCGTTGGTATTCATGATCTCAATGATGGCAATACCCTCATCAGTTTTTAGTATTTTAATATTGTTGTCTTGTTTCAGATTATTGATATATGTATTCTTTGTTTGAAAGGTTATTTTTTAAATGTCCAAAGATACAGCTTTTGATAGGATTTTTTGTTTTTATTTAACTTTTTTTATGACATTTTGACCACTGTCTAGATACAGTTACTTGATGCTGGCCACATGAGAGAGCTTGAAATGTCATTTAAAAAATTTAAATAAAATAAACAATCCACTCAAAAGCCGTATCTTTGGATATTTATTGAAAGTGTATAGTGGATTTCCTCTCCTCACAACAAGGTTATTGTTAAGATATCTCTTTTGCAGAATTATATTCTAATTGTGGTTTTGTCCAAGAATTCTTTGGAAAAGTTATTTAAAATATTGTTTTTAGGTTATTTGGGGAAGTAGATGTTGCCAGTATTACCTGTAAAGAAAGTTAGTTTGTTAGAGTTAGAATCTTTTTGTCTTCTTGTTAGTGACTGTTCGATATTTGTGCTTGCATTCTTGGTCTCTAAGGAACAGAGCACCAGTCTTCTTGTTGGTGACTGTTTGATATTTGTGCTTGTATTCTTTGTCTCTAAGGAACAGAGCACCAGTCTTCTTGCCATGTCTTCAAGGTGGGCTTTCATCTCAAGGCATGGAATAATTTTGGGTATGACTGTGAAATTGAGTTCTTTATTCAGAAGCCCGTATTTTCAGTATTTAATTGTTGGTCAGATCTGTAGATTACAAGTCTGGTTGGTGTTGTTGGCTTCTTAGATGGTGCAGTTTTTTGTTATAGCAAGACTATTCATGGTGTTTAGCATGAAACTGTTACTTTCTTTTGCAAGTTTGTTAACATTTTATATAAGCAGCTAAAAGTTTCCTTGCTTTTCAGAGTTTCTGTGAGCAGACGAACCTTTGGTCCTGGAAACGTTACTGTCTATGTATGGTTTGCATCAAACCAGGCTCTCACTAAATGTATTTGGTCAATGGCCGTAGCTCAACACCAGTTTTATCTGGACAAGAAACACTGTAAAGTAAGATTTCTAAATTTATTTAGTAATATTTATGTTATGGCCATTGTTTTTTCAGGAAATAAAATTTGTCTTATTAGTAACGTTTTTACACAGTGTTCTGTACACTTTACTCAGACAAAATAATGTATCATTCAGTAACTTTTATGAACAATACCTACATTTATAAGGTGTTTTATGAATCATAATTAAAAAAAACAAAGCAAAATATAATCAAACGGATTAAACAACTTCTAGCTATGGCTGTAGAGATAGAAATGCAAATTTATACAGAATGACCAAATAGGAGTTATGAGTTAGTTGTGTTTATAACTGATAACTAATCTCAAAGTAGTTTTGGCCTCACCGCTAAATTTGATTTATCAATAACTACCCATCATAAGAGCTTGTTCTTACATCTTACCAAACACAGGTGGGTTTTCAGTTAGATGTGTATAAAGGCTCAAGTGTGTTTAAATCACCATTTCAGGGTCCATTATAATACTGCAAGTTAAAATAAAGAAAGAACTAATGTGTTTTTTGTTGTTGTTGTATATATATTTTTCTACCTATTTCTTTAATGTATTTGCAAAATTGTAAGAGTTTTTAAATTTGTTGTT